ACTTTAGAGCTTCATGCTATTTAGAATTGAACTAAATGTTAGCTAAAATATAGTGTTGCAAAGTATGGATTCAGTTCTCCTTTCAGAATTTATTGCCCAGGTAAATTTCCAAGATAGAAGGAAGTTATTTGAATCATACACTGAAAAGTACACTTAAATGTCCAAAGAAAATGGGTAAAGAAAGCATGTTCTATACATGTGTTGTACATATCCTTTCTACATTGTTTTCAAGGTATATCCTGTTGTATATTTGGAAAAGAAGTAAGGAAACCATTGTATAGAAAAGAACAAAGTACTCAGGATCTTCCATTTGGATGAATGTTTTTTTACACATCCAGTTGTAAAAATATTTATTTAGAGACATCAACTTTCCTCCTTTATTTAAACTTGTTCTCTAGTTAGGAAAACAGACATTAAGTTCAGAGACATGATAATTATGCTCCTGTATTGTTTGGAGATGCACATAGTAAGAATGTAATTAAAGAGTCAGATTGACTATGACAATGTAGGAAGATACTTTGTATAGTTTCTTAGACATAGTCAGGGATAATGATTTGCTTTATCATTAGAATGTAGCTACATCTTAGCTACTCAGGAGGCTGAGACCTAAGGATCTTGGTTTGAAGACAACCTGGGCAGAAAAGTCCCTGTGAGACTCTTATCTCCAATTAACCACTCAAAGACTGGAAGTGGCTCTGTAGCTCAAAGTGGTAGAGTGCTAGACTTGAACAAAAGAACTCAGGGACATCGCCTAGGCCCTGAGTTCAAGCCCCACAACCATCACCACTAACAAAAAGAATGTAGCTACTGAGGCATAGAACTTTGGGGCTGGTAATCTATATCTCTTCTTTCATGTTTCAAATAAGTGCTTTTTTGTAAGTATAAGGATACCAAGATTAAAATTTCTTATAACCAACTATTTCTTGTAATTTCCTCAGTGATCAGTAGGTAGACAATCTTTTGGTTACTATGGTGATGATTTCATTTATGCTGTCCTCAAAGGCAGTTAACAGCCTTTCTTTGTTGAGTGAAAAAAGACGGAAGATGTAGTTTTTTTTCCTCTAAACAATGTAATTAGCTTTGTTTTTTGCTTCCCACAGCTGATCTACTCCTTTTGTATTTGCTGTAACACTTTCAAAATGCATCCAAGTAGGTTGGTTAGCACAAAAAGCTGTTGAGACACTTTTAGGACTCTGCCTTTGGCTTCCAGGTTACTTATGGAAGAAATAATCTCTTAAAATTATTCATCTATAAAGCACAATAAAAATGTGTGTACATAGCATTTCATGAGGAACAAATAAAAATTCATAGGTCAGATGAATTTTGAATGTTTTTTTTTCCTAGCAACCTGCTTTGTTTCCTACTTTATTCCTTGATTGTGTCATATAATTCTTTTGCAATAGTTGAGAGACTATAAGGGTTGGGAAAGAGTATAATTTACATATTATCTTTTTATATAGAAAGAGAGATGAAGTTAGGTTAGAAAAATCAATATGCTTTTATATAACTGTCCCTTTCCCACTCCTCCCCTCTCCTCTCCTCTCCCTCTTTTCCTCTCCTCTCTTCTCTTTCATTCTCTTCTTTTCCTTCTCTGATCTTATTTCTCTCTTCTTTTCTTATCCAGTACCAGAACTTGAACTATATGCTTCCTGATCTTTCGTCTTTACTCAGCAAATTTCTCTCACAGCTGGCACTTTATCACTTGAGCCCTGTTTTCAGCCCATTTTTTTTCCACCCAGCTAATTGGAATTAGAATCCTGAAGATGTTTCTTTGCTGGGCTAGCTTCAAGCTGCTGAGATTCTTAGATCTTGTCTCCTGTGTGGCTAGGATTATAGGTGTGAACTCATGGAACCTAGCTTGTATTTTCTTTTACTCAGCTAACTTGACCCTTTATTCTCTCAAACTACTGAAACTAGATTTGTAGTTACATTCCCCATCTATATGTGCATATTTGGTGATACATTGTAAACAAATGGGATTTCTTGAATTTTGTATGGATTTTGAATAGCACTGAGTACTGCAATAAATGCCAAGGTATCTGTGGTGAAGTTCCATGAAAGGGCTTCTGTTCTGTGGGGAATTTTCCTCCATGGGGTTACTTTGGGCTTTTTCAGGCCCCCTAGGTCTCAAGTCCTTCTTCAAGCAGGATGACACAGATTGAGTTTACTGCTCTTAATCCACAATAGCATTATCACTCAAAAAGATTACATTGCAAAAAAACAAAATAGTCACAAGTCTCAGTGCAGACAGTAGAGAGGGACTGAGCAGTTTGTGTCATGGCTTGCAGACTGCTTAGCAATAACACTGTACTGAGGCAAGCTCTGTATTTGTCAATTAACCATTGGAAAACAGAAATCTATTTCACAAGTAAAACAGAATCCATCTTCCCCGGTTGATTTTCTGAAAGCCTATTCTACAAACTGCTTCTTGCACAGGCTCTGTCGGGAGACTCCCTGGCTGGGACTTCGGCCACATGCTCACCAGTGAGTGACATTGTTCCTTCTCTTCCCATTCTCATTCCTTTAACATCTCAGAAGGAGAGACCAGGGAAAACAATGTGCTGTAGGATTTCTTGGAAGACTTCTTTTCAGGTCTCCTTAACCCTCACCACTCTCTGCGAAGTAGATAAGAAGCCAGAATTCACCAGCAAAGGAGAAAAAGGTAAGGTGGTTAGCAGCTCATGCAAACTATCATAGAGCCGTCAGTGGCAGAAGACGCGTCAGGTCCAGTTCTGATGGGCCCTCAAACCCCCTTCCACCTCACTGCAGGTGTCTCAGGGGCAATATAGGAGTCTTGTCCTATCAGTGGGACTAATGGTGAGATCATCTCATCCCATCTTCTTGGAAAAAAGGACACAAGGCTTGGATCTCAAACTTCAAAAGGGAAACATTTGATTTCCTCTTAAATATTCAAATCAGAAATGGTAACCACATGTCACTTTTGGGGCAGGTGATGTCCTGATAATTCATCCTAAGATTCTGTTTGTCTTTTGTTATTGCCTTTGGATAGTTGATATCTTTTTATAACCAGTGAAGAAAACTACGTTATTTTATGCTTACTGCACTTTTGGTACAAAAAGTATGAATATTAAGTATCACTATGAATGTTCAAAACAAATTGTTTCTCTCAATGATTTAGAAAATGAAGTAAATCTATTAGTGATTTAACTGTTGTGTAACAATAAAGGAAATCTAGTGAGTTATTCTTGGATAGTAACAGTAATGACGGTTTTAGTATGGTTAATTTGTTTGGAAAATGAATACTTCCTCTAAATGTGAGTGTGGATCTGAAGTATAATGTGATTTATTATTATGTTATTCAGGCTAAAACAAATTTAAAATAAAATGTGTTTTGTGGTTTATAAAAGCTATTTCCAGATCTTTAATTTCAAATGATCTTGGAGACTAAGTAAATAATGGCTCTTTATTAATCAAAGCACTAGAATGAAAAGTCTCATTGTCATGCTTCTTCTATACCAGAGTTCCTCAAGAGGGAAATCAAGCCAGGTGGGTTGTCTGTTATTGCTCCCAGCCTGTGCCCAGCACCACGCCCACCACTCCACCCCAGAGTCACATGCTCTCAAGACTAATACCAAAGCCTTTCATTTGGCCAAGAAGTCTTTCATAGCCCAATTCCTTACTTTAGCCTTTTTGTTAATTACTATTCAATATCACCTTACTAAGGTGACCATACCCCTCAGTTTGCCTGGAACCCACTCCCCACTCATGCCTGCTTCTTAGATGTAACTCACAGTAGTATTCCTTTCCACTTTTCACTTCATTCCTATGTTGGATAACAGATTGCATGGATATTTTTACCATGTGTCATTTGAAACATGGCACTTAGGACTTATGTTTGTTCAGTTTCTATTTTTAAATTAAGGTATAATTTTGCTTCCTTTTCCTCCAACTGCTCTAGAAAGCTTCTAATTTTAAGATTTTATTCTTTCATTTTTACCTCCACTGCTCTGTTTACCCTGAACTCTGAGAGTATGTACACCTAGTAGCTTCATTTGGTGAAACCACTGAGAGACGTGCAGTTCTTACCGTTATAGTCTCACAAGACATTTAGAAATACATGGCTAGCATCTAATAAAAATGTTATTGTTCAAGAGTTAAGCTGTAAATTGTGGTGACATGTGACTAATCTGAATCCCTGAAAAATGCATTTACAGAGAAGAGAGATAATGACTATTTCGAACATTTCTGTCATAACACAGTGTTCAATACTATTTTGTGCTCTGTATGGCTGCCTATCTACCATTATCATCTAACCCATCTATTATCTGTGTGTGTGTGTGTGTGTGTGTGTGTGTGTGTGTGTACCAATAGTGTCTTGAACTCAGGGCTTGGAGCTCTTGCTTGTTTTTTCCTCTTAAGGCTGGTGCTCCACTACTTGAGCCATAGATCCATTTTCAGCTCTTTGCTGGTTAACTAGAAATCAGAGTCTCTCAAATTAGTCTTCTCAGACTGGCTTTGAACTGCAATCTTTAGATCTCAGCTTCCTAAGTAGCTAAGATTATAAGCTTGAGCCACTGGGGCCTGGCACCATCCCACCTATCATCTTTAAGCATGATTAGACTTGTATGAAGTCAGCAATGCTGATTTTTTTTCTTTTTGGCATCTGTGCTGCTTGAAGTAGACTTCAATGATACAATGATACTCCTCTCCTTTGAGGTCACATGGATTTCCTCATGACTTTGACATACGGCATTCCTAAATAGAATGGGCCAGTGGAAGGAACTCAAAGCCTATGGCTAAGTGGTCAGAGGACAGAGAAGTGCTGTTACATTCATGCCACAGGCAAGTAGCTTCTTGCCTCTCCCATACTCCAGACTTGCCTTGATCTCTTTTATCAAGTAGCTCCAAAACTGCACTTAATTTGATGCTTTTATTGAGCAAATTCATAAAGAGAATTTTTTGATGACTATCCCTGAGGCCTTGTGTCTTCAAGTATCTTTCTTTTTTTTTTGTCAGCAAGTTCCCATTGAACCCTTTCTTCATGCTTTCTCATAGATTCTGGTGCTGACAATATCATTCATGGTACATTCCTAAAAGAAAGAGAAGAACCTATTAGATTTGATTGTTAACTGGTGAGACTTGCCCTGTCCCCCACACCAATTCTGGATACAAAAACAACGGAGTACCTTTTTAGGCATGTATCGAATAGGAGCACAGAAAAAATTAAATTTAGAGAAAACTCACCACTACCATTTTTCCATCTACAATTTTTCTCTTTATTGTCGTTTCTTTGCCAAGCCATTTTTGGACATGAATCATTGTGCCATTGTCTAATATGATGATGCTCTATAAGCACAAGAATAAATCAGTTGCAGTAATAATTGACTACAAACCTTCTACACCTTTTCATTTAGAACTTGAAATTCAGTTCTATAAAATCCTCCCCTTGGTTCTTGTCATGATTAAGTACTCTCAAACATAGAAGAATTCTTGAGATTATTCAATTAATGTTCTCTCTTAGGTAAAGTTTCTAAACTCTTTATGCCTAATAACTGTTTTTTGTGTTCCTGTATAATATTTTATATGTAGAAAAGTGAGAAAGAAAAGTGAGAATGTGAAAGTGTTAGCCCTAATAAACCATCAGAGTAATGAACAAAAGAAATTACTTAACAGATGTGCAAATATTAAACAAGCCCAAACTGACTTGGTGATAAATCAAACTGCATACATTAAGCCACACCTAGTCATCTTGAGTCCCCCTACCCACCCACACCCCACCCCACCTCGATTATTGGAGACATCAGGAAGACTTAATTATCACTAACCTTTACTTTCCGGTTGTCTGCAGTAGTTTCATCAAACGCTTCCCCCAGTTTGAAAGAAATCTCAGTGTTTGTGAGAGAACTTTCTGTCCGCATGGTCACTGTTTCTCCATTGACACTAATACTGACACTTGGTTTCACTAACCCTGCTACATTCCGGGCAGCAAAATTCACTCCTGTAAGATAGCAAAAGCTAGAGATCTCTTTCAGATATTTAGGAAAATGTTTTTTTTAAAGCATTTTGGAAATCTATTTTTAAAAGAATGCATAGTTCTTACATTAAAGTTTTGGATAACATGAATAACATTTTTTGAATGCTTGCTTTATACAGTATCTGGATTCATCCAGATCCTCCCAAAGTATAAGGTATAGTTAGACATTGTTTGTGACATTTCAAAAAGCTAATTTCACATCCTGAGACTATTGTGTTTCATCCCAAATGTCTACTTATGTGGTACCTTTCAGGAGATCAAATGCTTGCTCTTTATCTCATAGAAACTTAAAATTTTGGCCTAGAGCCTGACTCTTTTGTTCAAGTTAGGGATTTGCATCATCATCAAGCTTAAATCCTACAGTAGGGGTAGAAAACATAACTCCTCCTCTTGCTATTTCCTGTTCATACATATTTTGGAAGCAGTATTAAGTGGATTGCAAAGAACAAGAAAGTTAAAATCTGGGCTTTGATTTTTGACACTTTCAAGCTTGGGCCTGTTTTCCTTCAGCTTTTCTCATGGTAAAATGCATGTAAGTAGCATTTGACTAGCAGCTGTGCAGGGATCTAAGGGAAGGACTTAGCCTGCTACTGGCACAGAGTTAGTGTTCATAGTTATTTCTCCTGTTCTGCCATGCTAACTAATCCAGTTTCCCCATCAACACAAGTACTATACAGTCTCAAGTTCTGTTATATCCTGACATTTTCAGTCAAAAGAAGTGAATATACAAATTCATGAAGACATGGATTACTCTTTAATACTCTGAGATAATTAATATGGATTGTGAAAGAGGAACAAATCTTCATTGATAAGCACACTGTCTTCTTTTTCGGGGGGGGGGAGAGGGTATGGTGGTGGGGGCTGAACTCTGGGCCTGGGTGCTGTCTCTCAGCTTTTCAGTTCAAGGCTAGCACTCTACCACTTGAGCCACAGCCCCACTTCTGGCTTTTTTCTTTTTGCTTATGTGATGCTGAGGAATTGAACCCAGGGCCTAATGCATGCAAGGCAAGCGCTCTACCATTGAGCCACCTTCTCAGCCCCATTGTCTTCTTATTATTGAAAATAAAGAATTATTGTTTCAATGTCTAGCTTGAGTAATTATATTATTAATTATTGTGAGCCTCCATGATCAATCTTAGCAAACTAAAAATAGTGGAAAAATCCACAGCTTTGTGTAGAGTTTATTATTATAAGATCATTTTTAATTAAATAGAAAAAATAAGTCATTTTTTAGTATTAATAAAAATATGACTATTAGAAACCCAATTCATGATAGTTAATATTTGGCCACTTAGCTTGAATTTGCTATAAAGGGCAGACAGGGTTTATACTTCTGAGAAATATGAAATGATCAAACAGGTCAATAAATAAAAATATTCTATTTCTTCCACCCAAATTAGGAGTTTTTCAAAATAATGCTTTAAATGTCTCACATGAATGAAAATTCTAAATAATTAAGTAGAAACTGTTTCTCTTCTCTTAAAGTTATAGCTTAAAGCAAACCATAAAATAAATTCAATTAATAAATGTAACTTTAAATAGTTATCACTGCCTACAAATTTGAGGCTGGAAAAAAGCTATTCAATTAAATGACCAAAGAGAAGATATGTATATATAGATCAACATAAAGTATTTTCACAAAAGGATAAATAGATTCTGATTTAGGTACCTATTTCAATGACACAATTATAACTACTAAGAAGGAAAGGTCAGCCAGGCACCAGGGGCTTATTCCTGTAATCCCAGCTACTCAGGAGGCTGAGATCTGAAGATTGTGGTACAAAGCCAGCCTGAGCAGGAGACTCTGTGTGACTTTTACCTCCCCTAAACTACAAAAAAAAAAAAAAAGCTTGAAGTGGAGCTATGGCTCCAGTGTAGAGTGCTACCCTTGAGAGGAAAAAAAAAAAAGTTCTTCAACAGTGTGCTCAGGCTCTTGAGTTCAAGCCCTAGAATAACCAGCATCTCCCCCGACCTCAGTAGTATTAATAAGAAATAAGATTATAAACTTTGTTAAACTTATAAATATAACCCAGAATTATAGGGAAATTTGTTGTAAAATGCAAACCCAATCTCATCTGAAAACACCTTGCCACTTCCAAAATTGAATCAAGACATTTCTCACCCAGCTCTTTCATGTACTCCTCAAAGTTTTCACTGGAGACCAGGTTCCAGGTTCCCAGGAAGGGCTCAATCATCATAGGAGGTGCTCTGAGCAAAGGCACTCACAACGGAAGACCAGAGGAGTGTGGGGCAGCATGGTGCCACAGCGGCTTCATTTAAATGAAATTTTTGCCATGTGATGCTTCGAAAGTGGCCAATGGGAAGCAGCAACTCGAAGGTCCTGGGCACCTGGCATTTGACTCATTTTATTTATCTCCGAATTAAGAGACACAAAATTAATATGTGAAGTTTAATTCAGGTCAATGATTATAGCTCTTAGCTAAGGGATTTACACCCAAGAGTCACCTGATAAATATTACTGTGAGATTTTTCAATGTAGCCTTTTAAACAATAAATGAGTGACCCTGAGGGAACATTCAACAACTGCCTGATGAACACCTGACTGGGATGTTTTTCCACTCAAAATAAAGATCTCCTTCCTTTGTTCGCCTCAGCTGTTTTGTTTTTGTTTTTGGCTTGGGCAAATCCCCTCTTCATTAAAATATCTTCCCTTCCCTCCCTTGCAGGGTTGATGTACTGATATTTGTAACATGACTGAAATGACTACAATGACTTGGAGTGAGGTGTAGTGTATTATTACTATTATCATTGTTGTCAATCAAGGGTAGTTGAGGACTGAGAAAAAAGTAATAATTATCACCAAGTAGATGGCATTGCACTTTAGAAAGAAGGGAGAGACAATGCCTAGAAAGTCTTTCATAATTATAAAGTACTTTGCACTTAAAAGGTATCATTTGAAAATTTAAGGTAAGTTTTAGGAGGATTTTTCTTTTGTACTGCTCCTGGGGCTTGAACTCAAGGATTGGACACTGTTCCTGAGCTTCTTTTGCTCAAGGTTAGTACTCTACTACTTGAGCCACAGCTCTATTTTGGCTTTTGGGGAGTTTATTGGAGATAAGAGTCTCAGAGACTTTCTTGTCCAGGCTGGCTTCAACCTCTTGAATAGCTAGAAATAAATGTGGCAAGCTGATTTGAATCAAGGTTCTTAGATTTACATCACAGCTCTGGGCTTCTGCTGTTTAGAAGATGCTGAAAAGTGAGAGGCTCAGGGAACAGAAGAATAATCATACTTTTATTTGCTTTATGTCAAAGATTCCTTCAATTCTGAAAAACACCTATTTATCCCATCTCCTTATGGACAAAGTGAACAAGAGATTTATGTGTAGGTACCACAAAATAATAACTTAAGTGGGATAAATAACTACTTTTGAAGACTTGTGTAACATTATGTCTTTATAAATGGACCAATTATTGAGAAGAAGAAGAGAGAAAAATAAGGTTAAAAACCCTAGGATAATTTCAGGAAACAGACTTATGTCCCAACTAAGTGTCTGGGCCATCAAAGGTATACTCAAATATGATACTAAAGTAGAGACCTCCCTTTACTGGTGTCAGGCATGTATGCAATCTTGTTGAAGGACAGTGAGAGTGCATGGCTAAGCATATTGGCCAGTGGGGTCGTGAGACATTTGTGTAGCCATCTTTGTTGTTCTGCTTCTCCTGTCATCGACTCAGAAATCAGTCCTGTGGTCCATTTTACAAGTCAGTTGGCCCAATGACAAAGGGGAAGATTCAACATCTGGCTTCTCAAAAATTCTCAATACATGGAAGGGAGTCAGAGGGAAGAGCCTCTAGTCCTTATCTGTACGCTTTGTACATCATAGCAACATGGCTACATCCATTGTTGAGTTCAACTCCAAGATGGAGCCAGACAGGATGGCAGAATAAAGAAGTGGAAGAAAAGAAAAAAAATGCTTTACTTCTGGAAGATCTATGATGTGAGAACATAAATATCATTATTCATTAAATAATTTGGGCCAGAAGCTTATGTTTCACATCTGTAATCATAGCTACATAGGAGGCTGAGATCCGGAGTACCATGGCTCAAGATGAGAAAAGTCCAAGACTCCTTTCCAAAGTAACCAGCAAAAAGCCAAGCTAGAGGTGTGATGCAAGTGGCAGAGCTCCAGTTGAACAAGCAAGATGAGCAGCGTGAGGCACAGAATTCAAACCCTGATACTGGCAAAAATAATGTATCTGAGATTTTGTGACTTGCTAATTAAGCCTGCACAATGGATACACATTTGAAATAGCTTCACAAAATGGTTAATTGTCCTGTTTCAGGTACAGAACCAACCCATCTTCCCAGATCCATCTCTAACTTATTTTCTTCCTTGATGATTCAGTCTCGAATTCATTGATCTCCTATTATGTGATACAATGAGACCTTTATATATTAGAGAACATAATTCATTGAATTTCATCCAGATATTCCTTAGCTGCATCAGGAACTATTCTCAAATCAGCAAGAAAAGACAGTTGGGCCTGGTGGTGATGCCTGCGATCCTATCTCTCTGGAGGGGAAGGCAGGAGGATTATTAATTCAGATCAGTCTGAGCTACATAGTAAGACCATGACAAATATAAGTTAATTCAACAACAAGGACAATATTTTTTTACTCACCTCAATATTATTATTATTACAGTGGTTGGCATATCATAAATGTTAAGTAGATGTCTTATTAATGACAAAAATGTAAACAGAATTTATTTCTGTTTGACTGTTCTTGATGACTGACAGCATTTCTGCACACTGTCCTCTCCTGACCTGGTGCTATGATTAACTTTGTGTTCTGGTCATCCTTGGATAGTAAAGGGATTGTGGTATCTCTTCCTAATTACTATACACCTGTCTTCTCAACAAGAGTGCTATTCCTTTATGTACTGATACCTCTTCTGTATCATATTCCTTGCTAGGTTTATTATTTAATTTGATTGTCTATATTTTTGGATGCAGAGGTTAATATTCATATTGCATTTCACAGTGTTTATGTATTATCATCAAATAATCTAAAAGCTACAAAGTGATTCACTGTTATAAATACCTCCTCTTATGATAACATTACATTGTCTATTATGGAAGGTAATTCTTTTGAAATTTAGTGTTGGTTAATATCAAGTCTGAATGTAAGATGTGCAGTTGAAGTTTCAGAACCCCACTTGCTACTAGAGAAATTGGTTAATAGTATGTCTACTGAGCAAAAATGATGTATTTTTTAAGAAACATCACTTCTAATAATTCTAATGCATTTCAGAGCTTTGCAGAGAACTTTTGCATTCAGTTTTGATTACTGCAACTCTTTCAGCTAAAGCAATGAGGCTGAATTAATACTGAAAAAAATTTCAATATGAAAACTTCCGATTCGGTTTTGCAGATTAAACACTGTTTAGTGTTTACTCCATATGTAGAAATCGAAACTCCTCTCGCAGAAGGTTTGTATAAAAGGCTAATTAGCTTGGGAATCATTTTTTAATTGAATTCATTTCTTCAAAATAGATACTTTCAATTGTTTCGCAAAACTTTCCACCCCAACTCTATTTTTGTTTTGTCAATTTTGGAATCATTCAAAAGTTACAAGGAAATTGGAATTTACCAGCATTCCAACACATTTGCCCCTCTTCCCTTTTCCCTGTTCTGCCTTGCTATCCCTTCTCTTTCTCTTCCTCATCTCTCTCTCTCTCTCTCTCTCTCTCTCTCTCTCTCTCTCTGATAAGGAGCCTTTTATTTTGCTGAAACATTTGAGAGTAAGTTGTGAAATACTGCTCTAGTCCTTTCTGAATAAGCGCCTTTCATATATTTCCACAGTACATCCATCAAAATTAGGGATGTTACACCAATAACAACCATCTAATTCACAGACCCCATCAAATCTAATTGTCAGAAAAGTCTGAAAGCTCCTCCCCTCCCCTCTCCCCTTCTCTCCCTTTCCCACCAAACCCCCTTCCCTCCCCTCTTCTCCCTTTGTGTGGAGTGTATGTGGGTATGTGAGGGGCGGGGGAGAGGGAGAGAGGGAACAAGATGGAGGGGCAGGAAGGAAGGGAGAGAGAGAGAGAGAGAGAGAGAGAGAGAGAGAGAACCGGGTCTTGAATTTAAGGCTTTGTGCTCTCGCTCAGCTTTCTTGCTCATGGCTGGTATTTTACAACTTGAGCCACTCCTTTAGTCTAACACTGGTTAACTGGAGATGGGATCCCACAGACTTTTCTGTCTGGGTTGGCTTTGAATCTTTCAGGTTTCAGCCCCCTGAGTAGGTAGGACTACAGATGTGAGCCAATGGTGGCTGGGCTCAGAAAGATTATGATTTTTTGTTTTATTGTGGTGCTAAGAATTGATCCCAGGGCCTTGTGCATCCCAGGAAAGCACTCTTCCACTCAGCTGCAGCTCCAGTCATATTGTCCTTACAGTTTTTCTATTGCTACTCCAAGTTTTCAACCTCTTCTCTTTCCTCTGTGGTCCAGGATCCTGTCTATGATCTCATGAGGCCAATATGTCAATGGAGAACCAATCTTTATTCTTTCCTGACAAGAAAGATTCCATGACTTGAGTCATTGACTGAAAAATCACTTTTCTAAGCAAGAAATTGGGTCTTAGCTCAAAAATGAGGAGTAATTTTCATATAAACTCTGAAGTCAGTAATGTTTGAGACCTTGAAAGGAGTGTTTTTTCTTTCTTTATTTTTTGGCGGTCGTGGGGCTTGAACTCTGGGCCTGGGCGCTGTCCCTCAGCTCCTTAGCTCAAGCGCACTACCAGTTGAGCTACAGCACCACTTTTGGTTTTCTGGTGGTTTATTGGAGATAGGAGTCTCAGGGTCTTTCCTGCCTGGGCTGGCTTTGAACCATGATCATTAGATCTCAGCCTCCTGAGTAGCTAGGATTAAAGGCGTGAGCCATCGGCGCCCAGCTGAAGGGAGTGTTTCTAAACCCCATATTACAGCTCAGAGGTGGCAGTGGTAGGAACTGGGGATGTGTTGGCCCATTGCTTCCCCTGGTCCCTTGTGTTTCTGAAGAAGACATGCGTGAGCCATAGGCAGATAGGTCTGTCCTCACACATTGTCTGAGATGTCCTCACTCAATCCTGCCTCTCTTCTTTAGAGCAGCATCTCCTCTGTCTTCGTTTGTATGTGTCGGTAGAAGCAATGCCAGATAATGGTAAAGGAGGTGAACTTCAAAAGGATCCC